GTGCACCGAAGAATGAATGACTACGAACAGTGAGGTAAGTTGGAGTTGGGTGAACGGTGAGGTGACGGACGGTATTGGTCGGACGACAAGGTGTGTCGGGACTATAAAAGATAGTTTCCTAGGCTTTTCGAATAGAGATTATCTTTCTCCTTCTTTGGACAGGATAACTCGATTTAAACTGCAACTCCCCGCCCCAACACAATCAGTTGGGATTCTCTGTTGCTCTTCAAATTTTCAAGAATGGATAGGGTTGCTAGGAAGGAAGAGGGACAGAGATGACCGGAGTTTTTGTTTCGCCGCGTTCCACTGATGCCGAATTGAGAAATTTGGATTTAGGGTTCTCATTTTAGAGTAATGATTTGTGAAAACGGGAAGAGTAATTATTGTGGGGGTTGCTGAAAATCGAATGCGGAAGGCAGGAGCTACCTGGTTCTGGTCGACGCCGGGGGCGTAGCAGGGGACGTGGCACGATGACAAAGGGACGCGGTAGTCGGGGACAAAGAACAGAGACTACTTCCAGATGGCTTGACGAATAGGGGTACTTTCGAAATTTCGCATCCCATTTTTGTTATGGTCGGATCGGTCGAACTGTGGTTGACTTTGGTTGACAAATAATAGGATGAAATATGTAACGAAGGACAATATTGGTAGTATGGTTATAGTAGAGGGTCAAGTTTGATGAGATTCAAAATAAAAGGGCGAGTTTGAGAAAAAATTAATAAAGAGACAATTCATCCTATTAACCCTTAATTTTTTTCATACTTTACTCTCTTTTTTAATATATCATAGTAGTAGTTGTAGTTTAGAGTGATTTTAATTATTTAAAATAATTTATTGTGTCATTATAATAATAAAAACACTATTTTTATTTGTTGTGATGGTACACTAAACAAGTCTAATAGTCTGGCCTCTCGAGACTCGAATCCTGCCGCCGCCCCTAATTGTCATGCAACATGTTGTCCCATGCAATTTCAATTGGTTAGTTGATTATGATTCAAACCCATTTGAACTATAAACTTACTTCAACCAAATTTCCAACTGGTCCATGCCCTCATCGCAAAACAAATTCAAGGTGTAATAAGGAAATGGAGCCTCATCATCGTTTGAGCTAGCCAACAATATAGAAGTGTGATACTGCTTAACGTGCTCTTTTCTAATCATTTGAATGTTACTGTTTAACATCTTTCCCGAAATGTTTCGAATTCAGAATATTCAGAGAAATGAGAAGAACAAGAATAATATCGAGCTACCATACAGTAAACAGAGTGCAAAATTTGCTATTTTTAGTTTCGAGTGTCTCAAAATATGTTAAATTCATCGAGGCTCTTAAATAGTATGTAACAATACTGCGGGTCAAGCGGTTCTATCGTTGGCTTTTATCCTTCCTACAATTATACTCATGCGAACTAAGACTTGGACTAGTGATTTTGTCATTGATTTTTAGTCTACACGTCTCGTATTCAAATTTTGTAAGTAGGATGTAACAATAAAATTAATTGTTGTCGCCTGTATAGAAAAAATATGTCAAATTTACGGAAGAGATTTGTCCACAAATAATTAATAACCCACATACAAATCTACACCAATCACTAAAATAGCTTGGCCTTGCATAATAAAATATTGTAGGTTGCGACGTAAGATTAAGTTATGTTCCCTTCTTTCATTGGTTGTGACGTTGGAAGTTGATAGGAAAATGATGTACCTAATTATCTATATGATAGTGGCATAGTGCTCACCGAAGGAAGCCTACAAAAGGGAATTTTTAATGTACGTGAAAATTAATTCCGAGTTCTTAAGCATTGCTTGCTCTAACTAGCCAATTGTAGGGAAAAAGTGTCAATAATTTATTGAACTAATAGCCAATTGCCTTCACCATATGTAGAAAAGGATGGTTATATTAATTCAAGCCGTAGCCTTCATCTATATTACTAGCCAGCGAATAAGGCCGCACAAAAAAAGATTAAACTTATCAGATTGGCGGACATATATCCTTTGGCACTTTGTTTTGCTAAAAGTTAATATTGTACGATTTATAAGATAATCCAATTAAAATGGAATAGTACTATTATTATTCACAGGTTATAAGCATTAGGATTCTGAATTATTTCCATCATTTCTAGCTTGATATGTGTCTTATCTAGATATTTGGTTTGATTATAGGTTTGTTTAGGTTGACGTGGAACCAAAATGAGTCATTTGTAAAATATGAACAGTCGAGAAATATAAATAAATATAGATATTTGATAATATCTTGTTCGATTGTGAATTTTACCAATTAAATTTATTGTGTTATTATCAATCTATCCTCATTGAATTGAATGTCAATTTGTTTTATAAAAAATATCTCTTGTTGTTTAATTTCCTGCATATGTTTTTCATCTTGTTCATGGTCTTTCACCTTCCTCCTCTCACATTAAATCCAAACTACCACACTTCACCTATTTTTGTAAAACATTTAAATGTCAAGTTAACATAATGAAGATAAAAGCAATTAAAAAGGTAAAAAAAAAAAACAAAAATTAATCGCAATTCTTAGATGTGATTCCATTCAAAATCAAGGGGTCGAATTTGATTATGCATGAATGAATAACCAAGTGTTATGCATCCTATCATAGACCAGGGACACGAGATTAAAATTAGTTTTTTAAAGATAAAGCATGGATACTTTTGAAAAGCGGAGGAATAAAAACGAGTCATTGAGTTTTTTTTTTTTTTTTTGTAACAATGATTTGTTGATTTCTTGGTATAATTAAAGAGTGTATTTGGTATCATGTAAATGACCTCCCAAAATTAAGGTTGATTATTGGGTGCTTACGCATGTCATGTAACAATGATTTACTCCAACACTTTCTGAACTTTAGAAAATCATCAAACATTTCGAAATGGCTTGGGGATACTAGGAAGCTCTACCATGTGATGGCCTTACTTCGAACACAAAGGACGAAACCGCCAAATATACCTCCCTAATCCTCTTTTTCTTGGCACTCCTTTTGCTAAGATTGTGTGTTACTCATTTTTTTCATGAAATTTTTTTTCCTAATTAGTCTATCTTCATCCCCCATTTTTAATTGAGTTTTTTCCTAGGGGAGGAAAGTGTTAGCAGAGTTACAAGCCCATTTAATTATGTAGCAGCCCATGTACTCAGCTTCTGTAGAAGACTTAGAGACCTTATCCTGTTTCTTGCAACGCCTGGAGAGAAAAGATTGACCCAACTGTACACACCAACCCGTAGTAGAGCGCCGAGTATCAATGCATCCAGCAAAATCAGAATCAGAGTAAGCTTGAAGAGTCATAGAACCAGTAGCAGGAAAGCGAATACCTACACCACGCGTTCCTTGCAGATAACGCAGGATACGATGAACAGCTGCTAAATGATCAGTACGTGGAGAGGCCATAAACTGGCTAACGACCTGAACAGCATATGAAATGTCAGGCCGAGTAGCGGCTAAGTAAATCAAACTACCCACAATACGCCGATAAACCGTCCCATCAGGAAGAAGATCCCCAGAGTCACGACCCAATTTCACATTCATTTCCATGGGAGTAGCAACAGGACGGCAATCAGCAAACTGATGATCCTCAAGTAAGTCAGAAATATACTTCCGTTGACTGAGCAAAATACCGCGGGAATCACGAGCTACTTCAAGCCCCAGAAAGTAGGATAACTCCCCAAGATCTTTAATATTAAATGCGGCTCCTAACCCATCCTTCAACCGCTGAATGCCGTGAGGATCAGATCCAGTAATGACCATATCGTCAACATAGAGTAAGAGAGCAACAATCCCAGCGGCGGTAGTACGAGTAAAGAGAGAGGGGTCATTCTGACTTTGACGAAATCCGAGCTGAGCAATCGTAGTATGAAAATCCTCAAACCAAGCATGAGGTGCCTGTTTGAGTCCATAAAGAGAACGATTCAGAAGACAGACCTGATCAGGAGTACCCTGATCATAACCGGGTGGACGTTCCATATAGATAACCTCGTCCAAGTCACCGTGAAGAAATGCATTCTTCACATCTAACTGATGCAATGGCCAGTTTTGAAGAGACGCAACTGCCAAGAGTGTCCGAACAGCAGACATTTTAGCAACAGGGGCAAACGTCTCACTGTAATCCACCCCGTATTCCTGAGTAAAGCCCTGAGCAACCAGTCTGGCTTTATACCGATCAACCGTACCGTCAGGATTCATTTTGACAGTATAAACCCAGCGACAACCAACAATTGACGTGAAGGCTGGTGGACGAGGAACTAGAGTCCAGGTATTACTTGCATGGAGGGCCTCCAATTCACGACGCATGGCTGCGTCCCACACAGGATCACCCTGAGCCTGACGGTAGCGAGTAGGGACTACAAAAGAATCAACCCCATAAGCATGATAATCATCAAATCGTAGAGGTGGAATACCTTTCGTCGTCCGGTCTGAACGACGTGGATCAGGAACATGGGCCGAGCTCGACGAGGCCAGCGAGAGAGGAGTGGCGGAGCTGGTAGCTGAACTAGAAGCTTGGCCGGACGAAGTGGCTGAGGAACTCTAGGAAGGCTCTGGCGAGGACGTCGAGCTGGATGATAAAGCAGGGAAAGTCGCTGAAGTGGAGCGGGATGCTGAAGACAAGGGCGATGCACTGGCGCCTGAAGTGGAATCCTCCGAGGATGAGGGCTTTTGGGAGGAGGACAGACCGGACGGAGGGGGATCAGGAGGATCAATGGGAGGGAAGACCTGATCAGAATCATCACTAAAAATGAGCAGAGTTACAAGCCCATTTAATTATGTAGCAGCCCATGTAATTAGCCCTTAACTCTTTGTACACCAAAACCATCCCATGCACAGTACGTAGGCGCTTAGGGTTTGGGAATTACCCTTGCTAGGGTTGTATATATTCTTGATAGGAGCTGTAGGTGACGGTAACAAACACAGTACGCATAATCATATCAGTAGCTGAAGAGTTTCACCTCTTCCGTGGATTAGTCCTGAATACTCCAGGGATACCACGTAAATCCGGTTGTTCGTGTTCTTTCAGTTTTGTTATTTCCGATTGATTATCATGGTATCAGAGCCTCCCACAATGGAATCTGATCGCCCCTCGGTTCGTTTGACCTCTACCAATTTCGCTCTCTGGGAATTTCAATTCAAGGTGTTTCTTGAAGGCAAAGGTTTATTAGGTGTTCTCGATGGCACAGCTCCATCTTCGGCCACTACAGCTCCGACAAAGGAGATCTCCGACTGGAGGCAATGTGATGCCCGCGTCCGCCATTATCTCTTGGGATCGGTGGACTCCTCGACGTGTTTAAGTCTCCGACTGTTCACCACTGCCCATCAGATGTGGCGCCATCTTTCCGCCACTTATTCCACCGTCAATCCGGCTCGCCAGTTTGAGATTCGCCTCTCCTTGGCTCGGCTGGAGCAAGGGGATCACTCCATCACTGAGTACAGGTCTATGTCAGATGTTGCTTCCGAGATGGTTTGGCTGCGCCGATTGTTGGTTGATCTGGGCGTCACATGTTCCTTGCCTATGGATCTCTTTGTTGATAACACGAGTGCTATCTGCATTGCTGTTAATCCGGTTCTTCATGACCGCACTAAACATATCGAGATTCATGTTCACTATGTTCGTGACCTTGTCGGCGCTGGTACTATCACTTTACATCATGTTCGCACCGAGGATCAGGTTGCCGATCTCTTCACCAAGGCCTTTTCCACGAGTCGTCACTGGTACCTGTCGAACAAATTGATGCTTTCTGATCAGCATCAATTTGGGGGAGGCTGTTAGCAGAGTCACAAGCCCATTTAATTATGTAGCAGCCCATGTAATTAGCCCTTAACTCTTTGTACACCAAAACCAGCCCATGCACAGTACGTAGGCGCTTAGGGTTTGGGAATTACCCTTGCTAGGGTTGTATATATTCTTGATAGGAGCTGTAGGTGACGGTAACAAACACAGTACGCATAATCATATCAGTAGCTGAAGAGTTTCACCTCTTCCGTGGATTAGTCCTGGATACTCCTGGGATACCACGTAAATCTGGTTGTTCGTGTTCTTTCAGTTTCGTTATTTCCGATTGATTATCAGAAAGCTCGATTAGAATTGCACTAGTGGAAGAGATAGAAAATTATAATAGAAGAATGTGATTAGACTGTGCGTTTCATATTTTTATAGTTTTAACGAGAAAAATGTAATGAGTGACTGAATAGCCTCACGAAACCTACGTTTGCTCTTGACACTGCAAGTTAGGATTAACCTTTCTTTTCTTCTATCCAGGTATCTAGCTAGTATTGAATCATGTCCAACAAAATTGAAATGTGTGTCATGCTCCAAATGATACAAAGACGATTCAGTCATACTTAGCGGTTAATTTTGAAAGTAACAGGTTTGTCATGCCTGGCATCATGCCATCTTTCTTCCTCCTCCTCTGAATGATGAATGGCCAATTCGTGAGAGTTGAAAAACCAAGGAAATAAAACAAAGGAATCTTCCAAACCGGAAAACAGATATACAAAGATAGAGCGACTTTCAGTGACCACAGTGACAAGCGCTACCTATAGCTAGGTTACAAAAAATAATTGAATAAACTACTAAGTATTAACACCAACTAAATGGCAATTGCTATTTGTTTAATGAAACTATTCAAAACTATATTATTGCTTTAGATAGTTCCAGAACTCAATAGGCCGTGAAAAGGGAGGGGGAAAAAAGAAATGATAATTTAATCGAAGATAAATGATCGGGCAAGAAATTAAAGGACCAATAAGAAATTTAGTAGCATACTATATTCACATCCAGTTGTTGATCCATCGACTTACTTGCCAATATAAAAACCGCAATGGGGTTTGGGTTTCACGTGAATATCTTGTGTAGCTAATAACACACAATTTCATCTCCGGCCACTTGGGCGACGTACGGCGGAAGTTCCAAGCAGCCTACCTGTATGCGGCCAAAAGCCTACAGCAGTAATTATCAACGAGAAATATGCTGCGGTTGTCCGGCAGCACCAACAACTTCGTTTCAGACTTCCCCACCGCCACCAATGGCTACCCTTCTACTATAATAACTTCTCTTTCTCCTTCGCCGGCGGCGGTGGCGGAGGAAGAAGCTCTTATGTCCTCTCGAGACGGCAATGATCTTCAGCAGGATATTTACAAGTAATTATATACACATCTTCTCCAGCTGGAGTGAAACAACACTTTTTGCAACCAAATTTGGGTCACTCGTCGCTAAAGATCGTTACTTTTGGTCGCCAAAAAGGGTCTCTGGTTATTAATCATGTAGTTGTGATTATAATTGACTAGGGTGTTCGTGGGCTCGTGGAACGTCGGAGGGATCTCGCCGCCGGAGGATTTGGATCTCCGAGATTGGCTCGACGTTCCTAATAACGACGGTGCCGGCTCTCCATCGCTGGACATCTATGTTCTTGGGTATTTTTTTTTCCCTGCATTATGATTATGATTTCAGGAGTTTGAGTAATTGATCATTTTGTAAAATTTATACTGTATACAAATATACGTGGGGTGCATGCAGGTTCCAGGAAGTAGTGCCTCTGAGGGCGGGAAACATAATCCTAGGTTCCTCCGAAAATCACGGCAACAATACCGTCGCCCTCAGATGGAACTCCGCAATCGAGGCAGCTCTCAACAACGACGGCGTAGAAGAGGAAAACTACGATTGCTTGGTGAGCAAGCAGATGGTCGGAATCTTCATAACGGTGTGGGTAAAGAGAAATGTCAGGTCACACATCCGCCACACCGCCGTCTCCTCCGTTGGCTGCGGCCTCATGGGTTGCTTCGGGAACAAGGTACAGACTAAACTAGTTCTCGAATCTTATTCTTGTCTCTGATTCCGTCACTTAATTATTGATTAGAACAATTAACTAAAACTTATTATGTGAAAATAATTAATAGGGTTCGGTATCGGTGAGGTTCTACGTGGAGAAGACGAGCTTCTGCTTCGTGTGCAGCCACCTGGCTTCCGGCGGGAAAGACGGCGACGAGAGGTACAGAAACGCCAACGCCGGCGAGATCATGTCGCGTACCAACTTCCCACGCCGATCCGCCCACTTGCGCAACTTGCCCCGCAAGATCCTTCATCACGAGTATGCAACTTAACTAACCACTCTTTCTTTTCAATTATTATTCGATGAAAATTAGAGAGTACGATCAATTAAGCATGATGGCGACGTTAATTGCGTTCTTATGCCAACTATATATAATTGAGATGCAGTTATTGGTTCATACGAACCGACCAACTACAGTTTATGCTAATTATAAATTATAATTTTTGCAATATGAAAAAAGGCTAGTGGCTGGTGCTGTTGCAGGACCGCAGACCCCGACAATTACATAACATTATATATATTTGCCGTCTTCCCTCTAGTTAATTATGATATGATATAATATTAGTTAAATTAATTAAATACAAGTTGCAGAGCTTATGGAAGGAAAAAAAACATAACTGTAGCAATCAGTTAATTAATTAATAATTTTTTTAATTAGCAGAGAAATAATTTGTGTTGTTTTTGTTTGATTGTTCGTTTGTTGGTGGTGCATTATTGACGGACCACAGTCGAGTGGTATGGTTGGGTGACTTGAACTACAGGATATACCTACCAGAGACCACCACTCGATTCCTCGTCCAGAAAGGAGAGTGGAATATTTTGCTGGAGAAAGATCAGGTACCTATCTATATATTTATATTTTATTATTATTATATAAATAAAATGGAATACATAAATTTTGATAATAAATCCCTAATTAATCATGTAATATTATTGGGCCGGAAAGCTGAAGGCGGAGCTGAGGAAGGGACGCGTATTTGAGGGCTGGCAGGAAGGCCGAATCCAATTCCCACCTACTTACAAGTACTGTCCCAGCTCTGGGCTTTACTACGGTATTGAATCCGGCCCGGCCCAACGACCTAAGCCCTCAAAAGGCCGCGCTCCTGCCTGGTAATCATTTCTCCATTCTCTAATCGATCTTTTACAAAAACCTATAATATCGTTTTGATGAACAAGTCTCCATAGTACTTGTAACAGTGTATGTTTTGTTTATTCATTATTGAGCTGTCACTGTGTGAATGGATGAAAATTTATTTAATATATAATTTAGTAGTATTTTCTTTTGGGGGAAATTAAATAATTGAGATCTGTTAAAATGTCGTTAATCATATTAATGTTAAACTGAAATGTGTATATTAATTATATAGGTGCGACAGAGTAATATGGTTTGGAGATGGCCTGAAGCAGAGCCAATACGAGAGAAGAGAAAACAAACTGTCCGACCATCGCCCGATCCGAGCAATCTTCACGGCGCAAGTAGACAAACTTTCCCCTCCCTAATTATTAGCTAATAATTATTCCTATCATCACTGTAACTACCACCATATATATTCGTTTGCTTTTTTTTTTTTTTTTTTTTGCAATATTTGTGTAATTGTATATCACATACATGTATCATGGCATCATGTTTTGATAAAGTCCGGTATTTTAGTATTTAATCGGTAAAGATGAAACAACAAATCATCTTAAAAAATTAATAATAAAGATTGCTAAAATTGTATTGTCGCATAGGACAATCCTACTTGCTCGAAATTTCACATTTATATGGGTCTTTTAGTTTTCTCTATGATATAGAACTAAATTATTTAATTGGCTAGATACTAATAGGGGTGTTCAAATGGATTGGTTACCGTGGTAACCATATTAACCAGTAGGATTCGGTTAATTTGGTTTGGTTAAATAATTTAGCTTATTTGATTTAGGTGGTTTGGTTTGGTTTCAACACTGCTAACCAATGAAACCAATTAACCAATTAATGATACACCTAATATACAAAATTATTTATACTTCCATGCAACCAACAAAATCAAACTTTCGTGATTCCCTATTTTATTTCCATGTGCACAACAAACCAAAGCATTATGGGTCAAAAATTAAATGGGACTACCTATTTACTAAACCAAAACATTTTGAAGAGCTACTAGACTTTAGGATTACGTACAATACCATGACAGACACTTCAAACTACGTATAGTTTAAGTGTTTTGTAGGAGAGCTTTAACTTCCTAATGAGTGGTATTGGTATGTATTTAATATTTATGTTAAGGGTTTGTTGTAAGCTAACTATATTAGGTGCGGAGATGATGAATGATGTATCAACTCGAATGATGATGATAATCATGGTTAGTCTTATTATGATGTCTTATATATAATGATAGTTTATGATATTAATAACATATGATTATGTTTTATTCATTAACAGGATAATTGTTTTCATGTAATGTTATGTTATTTGGTTAATCCGATTATCCGATTAACAAAGTCAATTAAACTTTGGTTTGGTTAATTTGATTTTCGTGTTAATTTGGACGGTTTGGTTAAAACATTTTATTTCATAGTTAATGAAATATAAGCTTAATTGGTTTGGTTATTATCATGGTAACCATTTGAATACCCCTAGATACTAAGTCCTACATCCTACTCCTACAAATTATATGTGGAGGTTCTCATTGAGAACTCCGCAATTCAATTTTTCCTGCTCTCGGCGCACGTTTCGGAAGGATTATTTAGTCCTTTTATATATTTGGATGTTGTGCGGCTAATTGATGGTTTGGTTTAATAGACCAATAAATAGCTTATTAATAGCATTTCAATAGACTTGACAAATAAAAAAGATTTGGCTAATAAATAGTCATTACTCTATTTTTTTAATCAAGCTCCACTACTTAACTTTAGTTGTTTATTCCTGCAATCCCTCTCGCATTAGGAATGACAATTGTGATATCCATACCCGTTCGTATCGAGATAGGTCGATCCATATGAGTATATAATTTAAATAAAAAATACTAGAAATAAGGTTTAACATGATAAAATGTAGTTAAACTAGATTCTCACTTATTTACAACTTTATTATTGCTAAATTATAAAACAATAAATAAAAATCCTAAGAAATCGTAGTAAATATATATATAATTTAGACAAAAACAGGTCGAGAATGGAGGATGTCAGGATGCGTGGTACTCATACCTGCCCGCCTCCCATAAGCGGTAGGTATTTGCCCACTTTAAAACAGGTTAAATAGATCGAATAATATGGGTTAGGTCAAAATTGTCATCTTGTTTCTTGAGATTTTTGTAATGGCTTAT